TGGACCAGAAATTATGTTACGGCTTGAATCTTTCGCAATGTGTTTCGTGGGTGGTTTTGGGTACCAGAGAACAACCAGACCAAGGGCTGGCCAATCCGATGATCCCAACCGGGAAGTAAACGAAAATAGCTTTAGAACTGGGTAGATAAGGCAAGGATACTCACAAGACTGGAGCACTCCTCGTGGTTATAGTGAAGTCTAAATATTTAGGCTGAAGTTCTAGTGCATACACAGACCCCACACTGCACTTCGAATGTATATGGACACGAGCAATTGCACGATAGTTTTACAACTTATTTATTGAATATTTTTAAACGAGCAGTAACGAACACGGTTAATGCGTGCGCGGCCATCTTGCTTCTTCTTTTTCTTGTCGCACCATTTTGAGCAGTGCTTATATGGGGGAGGCGGGAGGATAGAAAAAACTTAGGAAAAGGATATTATATCGGGACTGTTCCGAAGCCAGAACAATCTTTCTAAAGTTTTAATTTACCTATAGGCCATTTAATAATAGCACGGTCATCTTAGTTAGAACCTTTATTTAGTAACTTTTAGGTATCTCTTGGAAAAATTAATATTTACTAGAGTAATCGAAAACTGTTGATAGTGCCTTAAAATTATTTTTAAGCTTAATAACCCCGTTCACGAAGACAGTGCTCAAAAAGGTTACGCATATTGAATCGTCCCTATTTCACTTGTATTAGGTTCAGATTAGTCAATTTCTTATAATTTATCCCTTCCCGCTTGGAGAAGGTTCACAATATTTATATAAAATACCAAATACAAGGGTTTCGCTCTACCACATTTAAAAATAATGTGAGAGAGGCACACGGCTCCACGCACGCCGTGTGTTAAGTTTGTTGCTGGACGTTAAGTTGGAAACTGGACCGTAGTCCACAGCAAAATAACTGGCGAACCAGAAAAAGAGGGCTTGGCCCCTTGGTAGTACGTAAACACAAACATCGAACGAAATCGCGCATTTCAATGCGTGTAAACGCCATGCAGAATACGATCAAATCCTGCCACAGTGAATGTACGTCACACTAGTCACACTGGCCATGCAAAGCTCTCCGCGAGCGCCAACACCTGCCAGACCACCGTTCTTGCGGACGTCACGTAAGTGTAAGTCGTCACTGCCAATTTTTTATAGCAGAGGGGGCAAACCAGCATGCGGCTCACCTGATGGTAAATGACTACCGCCACCCATAAATAACTTGGTGTTGCACACCAAGGGAATTGCAGATGCGTTGCCGGTCTTTTGAAAAACAGTAGGCTCTTTTCTTGAAAGTCCCAAAGTCGTATCATTCCGGAAATATCTCTGGTGGTAGTCGATTCCACAAGGAAGTTGGGCGAGGAAGAAAAATTCTTCTAAATGGCACAGTGGTGGACCGCCAATCATCCAAATAGCATGGTTGGTATCGCGAGTTTTGTCACGGTGTGCGATGATGAAATTGAATGGCTGGAATTAGGCTGAACAATTCCTCAGAGCACGTCTCGTGATGATGAGAGTTCAGAGATACAACAACCCAAAGAGATGCAACAACTCTTCGCAGTGCCAGTGAGTCAAGCCGATGGGAAAAACCTCGGTCGTTGACGGTTCGAGCTGCTCTGCGCTGGATGTGGTCAAGTGAAAGGAGCTGGCACTGGGGAGACCCTGCCTAAAGATGGGAACAGTGTTCCATGTGGGACCGAACCTGCGCCTTGTAAAGTTGCAAGCGGTGTCGCGATCCGCGTAGGCGAAGTAACCAGTTCTGTCAGAATATATGTCAAGGCAAAGCCATAAACAGATCTACCCGCATAATCGGTTAAACGGGAACCAAGCTATTCAGCGTGGTGGGCGTTAAAGTCAGCGAGGATAACGTTCTCTGCGGATGGAACCTGTTCTAGCACGGAGTCTGCCGCCATTTGGACGTAGTCGATGAGTCGGTCTGTGTCGGCATTACCGCTATGGGACCTATGAGGCACCCGTAGGCGTGGTCGTCGCTCTCTACATACAGCCACAGGATGGACAGGTATACACAAACCCCCAGCCAGAGGCACAAAGGAGTGTTCTAATTTGTACCCCGGGTAAGAGATATACGAAGTATCAGCCGTAGAAGACACCTGTGTCTCGGTTAGAAACAACAAGGCCGGCTTTGCCATTTCCAGATGGTAGTGGACGGCGTTAAGGTTCGAATGAAGTCCCCTGATGTTACACAAATTCACGGATAGTGTGGCAGGGGTCGCCTTTTTTATTGCTCCTTTTGCTCCGAGCAGTATTAGTCGTAAGCAGAATGTCACTCCGAACTACGATGCAACTATCATACGGATGGTGCCCTCTCACAACACACCCACATGATCCCTATCGTCTTTGACTTCAAAATTAGTTTTTATTGTTGTTAACTAGAAGTAGCACCAACGTATCACAGTAGCACGCTACTAAGACTTCAGTAGCCAAAAATCCACGTATCATAGCGCTATTGCACTGAGACATGGAGTTGAGTATGCTTGCTGCACTTAAAAGTACTACCAAACTCACTCACCCTAATCCGAACAATAGCCGACGGATCATAACGCTATGCGTTAAGACGCCGCCCACAAACGGTAGGGGTGTGTGATGTCCACGGGTAAGTCGTATTTCTACAACCGCTTACCACAGGCATTAAGATAATATGCCTAGGACATATCGGTACACTATGTCCTAGGCATATATATATATACACTATGAAGCAGTCTACATGCCATTATAATAATCCTTTTCAAGTCATTTCTATCAATATTATTTATGGGAATTCAAGTCATAACTCTGCTATCATAATGCTTTTATTATTATTATTATTTCATATTTAAGTAAGAGAACGCAAAAAGTTGTCATTAACAGTATGAGTTCTTCCGGGTCGATGGTACAAATGGGCGTGCCTCAAGGCTCAATTCTCGGCCTCTTTCTGTTTTTTGTATACATTAATGACTTACCTTACACAGTAGGAGATAACCATGATATAGTATTATTTGCAGATGACACTTCTTTAATTTTCAAATTAAGTAGACAATTGCTAAAATATAACGAAGTAAATAATGCTGTATCTCAATTAGTAAATTTGTTCAATGTTAATGATTTGCATTCAAATGGCACTAAAACGAAATTTATGACTCCAAATTTCAAACAATTAAATACTAATGTAATTTTAAATGGGGAGAAACTGAGTCTTGTAGATACCACCATTTTTCTTGGAATCACACTAGAGACGAAGCTTCAATGGAGCCCCCGTATATCAAAACTAGCAAGCAGACTTAGTTCTGCAGCATATGCCGTAAAAAAGATTAGAAATCTAACTAGTGTTGAAACAGCTAGATTAGTTTACTTTAGCTATTTCCGTAGCATAATATCGTATGGTATTTTGCTATGGGGACACGCAGCTGACACTAAAACTATATTTGTTTTACAGAAGAGGGCCATAAGAGCAATTTATGATTTAAAGCCTAAAGAGTCGCTGCGACAAAAATTTAAGGAAATTAATATATTAACTTTGGCATCTCAATACATTTATGAAAATGTAATGTACGTACACAAAAATAAAAGTAGTTTTACAAAAATAAGTGATATTCATTCTGTAAATACTAGGAACAGACACAAGCTAGTAGTACAAGTTACTCGACTCCATCGAGTCAGTAATTCATTCTTGGGGCGATGTATACGCTTTTACAACAAAATTCCACAGAATATACAAAATTTGACCTGCTCAAAGTTCAAAAACTTTATTAAACTAAGTTTGTATAAAAAGGTTTCTGTTTCTGTTTCTGCTTTTGCATCTAAGAGACCTTCAGAGATAAAACTAATTTTTTTCAAAAATTTCACTTAATGTGGTATTTTAAATAATGAACCATGCAAATAATCAGCACTATTTTTATATGAAAGTGATGGAAGTCCTTTTACTATGTAACTTCTAAACTTCTCCAAACGATGATCATTTATTGGAACAAACACAACTTTTGAAACACAACGTTTGATGTTAAAGTCTCCACATATTACAACAGACTTGTTCTGTTTACTAAGTTTGAGCAAAACTTCTTCCAAAATCCTTGCAAAATTTTCGTAAGTAGCACATGGGGATCTGTAAACACTTTCAACAATTAGATGCTCGAGCTCGACACAAGCCATTTCTACAGTTCGCTCAACAGAGAGGCTCACAATATCCTTACGTTCTTTATATAATAATGATTTATCAACTAATATTAAGGAGCCACCAAGTAAACTTTTTCTCTATTGAAGGAACTGACCACTTGGTAATTTCTGAAATTAAACATTAAATTATAATCTTTTAGCCAATGTTCAGTAATACAAAGGATATGTATGTTGTTACTATTTAAAAACAAATCAACTTCTAATTCTTTGCCCATTATGCCTTGTAAATTTTGATGCACCAGGTGTAAACAATTCTTATTACTTATTTGTGGGCTATATTCTAAATTATTCAAACTCTTATTATTGCTAGAGATTGCCTCTATTTTCGGATTCATTAATTTAAATTAGTTGGAACTGATTCCAAATTAAATGCCAAATGATTACACTGCTCAATACAGGCAGCCTTGGTAGCCAAAAACTTGGCTAAGCTAAAATGTAAATTATAATAAGATAGCACATTTGCTACCATTCTCTAATTATATTTGGATAAGTAATACCTATTTTTTGTCCAAAACTTCTTAAGGCGCTACTCCTAGCGAACGTCCTTAAGTATTCGGTCCGCCGACTCTCGCTACAATATTATATCGCGTAAGAAATCTGCAAGGCGCCACCTAGTGTATGAACGTACTATTATTTTTTATTTACTACTTTTTTATTTGCTGACATATTCTAGCTTTTGACAAACTCAATTTACATTTTTGACGTGCATAAACTCATACGCGTGACCCACGATTCCTATATCCACGCTCTTGACATTTTTTGCAACTGAGTTGTGCGGTGAATACAGATGCATTACTTTCGTCTTATTAAGGTTAAGTATGATACAATTATCGTGAGCTCACCGGATAATATTTTCGAAGTCAGCCTGTAGCACAGCCCTGATCTCTTGTATATTCTTAGAGGAGTACATAAGGCACATGTGGTCCGCGTACATATACACCCGACATTTCTTCACCACATTAATGACGCTATTGACATGCATAACGTAGCCAACCGGACCATAAACTGAACCAGTCGGAACACCAAGCTGTACCACCACTTCTTTACCAGCAACACCAGAGATGTAGGTCTGTAAGGTTCTGCCACTCAGATAACTCCGGTACCACCTGTATGTGGGGCCCCTGATTCCACACTCATCCATGGCCTGCAATAGCACCTCATGATGTGTATCGAAGGCTTTTTTATAGTCTATGAACAGCGCCAGGACCTGATGCCCCTGGTCGAGACTACTGTTCATATCTTCTGAAAACTGTGATAGTGTTGTTACGGTGCTACGACCATGCCTAAAACCGTATTGTGCATCCGCTAATATACTATTTTGCTCTAAAAATTCGCTAACCTGGCTGACTACCATCTTTTCAACTATTTTATTAATGACCGATAAGATAGCAATCGGTCTATAGTTAGCATACACTGAGTGCGCTCCCTGCTTGTAGATGGGCCTAATTAAAGCTTTTTTGAGTGGGTTAGGATTTTCCCCTTTCGACAATCACAGGTTGACAAAGTGCGATAAGACCGGTAAGATCTCATTCTTGATTATTTTTATGTCTATGACTCGAATGCAGTCACTGCCTGGCGCTTTATCACAGCTCAACTGATCGATGACTTTGCACACTGCGTCACTGTTAGCTGGCTTAAAGCGAAATGTTACATCACATTCTCTAACATATTTACTTCTGTCTAATAGTTTAATACTACAATTATGCTTAATAGCAATAATTTCGTTAGTAAATGTATCTGCAATGACTACATATATTATACATCGTGTCTTTATTTCCAAAGTATCTTTTAACAATATCATCTATCTTTGATTTTATCCTACTTGTCCAGCTATTAATTTCGTCCCAGATTTTTTTTGGGTCTCCATTACACTTCTTGATTTCTTCCTGACGATACCTATTTTTCGCTTTAAATATTAATTTGTTAACCTAATAAGGTTAACAAATTAATATTTAAAGAATACACACGATTTAGAAATATCTAAATCGTGTGTATTCTAGTCTTTTTGTATTATTGTTTGGTGTTTCTTTCCAATCCCTAAATAACCTATCCCTACGCATTAACATTTTCTTCAAATCTCTGTCTATCCGCGGTTGTGTATCCCGTTTTTTAATCTTTGGCATTACAGTCTTACTATTTTTATAAATATCATTGAAAACATTTTCTAACTTACAATACAATTTTAACGGAAAACAACAGTTGAGACCAATCGTAATCAGTGATCTGCTTAGCTACTAGCTTATTAAATAATCACATACCGAGTAATTAATCACATACCGAGTGTCCGAGTCCACACTGTCAGTGTAGTGTTGCGTCACATGTAACGGTACCGAGACTCCAACCACGTGATGATCTGACATAAAGCACTCACTCCTAATAAGTTAATGTTGACGTCACCTAACATGATAATTTCCTCACTCGTTGGGATCTTCTTAATTATCTGCTCGATTTCATCAACAAATAAAAACCTATTCGTTTTTGGTGGTCTGTAGACTGCAATTATATTTAGAGTTGAGTTGTTAACAGTGAGTTTACCATGAAGTCCTTCCAGTGAACTCGTCAGGGTTTTTCGCGCATTAAAAAGAAGACATTCCTTAGCATAAATAAGCACCCCACTCCTCTTGTAGTCTCCCACGTGTTTGCAAATAGATTGTACCCCTCTATGTGGTATAGTGATAGCTCCATCTTCTTACTGTTAACCTCTGTCAACACTAGTATTTTTAACTATTCAGAGCATTTTTTTAAAAAACATTGCAATTCATTAAAGTTTTTTCTTATCGACCGAATATTTAAGTGTAATATGTGTAAATATTTGTTGTTGTTAGATATACTCTGCACCCAGGAGTTCGCTGTTTTAAATCTAGTAAATTGACATTCTAATGTGATAATTACATCGAAACGATCACCTTTTATTTGATGTTAGTTTAGCTCGCAGTGTTTACTACGCACTATGTGTGCGTTAGGCATACAGGTACCAACTACAACATCTAGCCAGTCGCCGTATTTACACTACTTTCTATATATTTTTCAATATCTCGTTCACTCCTTATTGACATTATTTTTTTCTGTTCATCACTTTTTCTTATGAGTATTTTTCCATCTTGTACCAAAATGTACTTGTATGTTTTCTTAAGCTGGTTTTTAGTAACCCATAGAAGGTTCATTTTATACCTAGTGAGATTCTCATTTATATAAATGCGGGTGTCGATATTTGTACCATAAATTTCACCATTTGTCAAGCGTTTTTTGCGACTTTCAATCCACTTATCACGAGCCTCTTTTGTTCTCAGCGTTACAACAGTGGTTTGTCGGCGTTTGGTTTTTCACGGCCTACCCTCTCTGCGTGCTCAATCTGACTAACATCCATCTGGAGCTTGTTAGCAATTTGGACTATCATTTTCGCCACATCTTCATTTTCTTTCTTTTCCAGTCCAGCCAACTCCACCTTTTTATCCTTGTCTTTCTCTTCCAGCTCGTTCACACGTTCTTCCAGTGCTTTATTGCACTTCACCAAGTATGCATTCATGTTTTCTAGGGATTTTTTTTCGGTTGATTTCTGGTACTCCATCAGATTATCATACTTTTCTGATACAAAATCAACCAGATCGGCCAGCTCACTCAGCTTCTTCTCCATTTTGTACACGACTTCCATTTTCCTGTTCATATCAGGCAGGATCACTGCAATATCCGGTTCATCAACACTAGGCGAACTAGGATACGATCCGGGTAGGGAAACACAATCTTCACATTTTTCATTTTTGAAGGTAGCTCTCGTGACGCACTTTTTATGGAAGACCGCTTCACATGAGCCTTTGCATTTACAAGTCTCATCTTTCGCCGTCGACACAGCCTTATTGCATTTCTTACACTTCACCATAATTAATTCTTATGCGATATTGGCAAAACACAATCTTTTAGATATTTATGCACAATTACGTATTTGACTTAGGTGAATCTACGAAAAAAACAGCCGTACGCCAAGCGCGCACGAATTAAGTTAACAACAACGACTTTACTAAAGAATATAATTTATTTATTTAAAGTAGCAGCGTTACAACTCAACAATATCAATCTAACAATCAATTATTCTAGTATTTATATAAATTTACATCTTACTAAGCGATCCGTGTGGTGACGCACGGCCTACTTATTAGGAGTGCTTGTAAAGCAGATATTAGAGGGGTCATCACTCTTAACCCGCGCACACTATGGTATGGTATGGTAAATAGGTAGGTAGGTGTTTTTTGATTATGTATTGAAAAGTAACATACCTACTAATTTTCGAATTGAGCACCTTCTAACTTAGCCTGCTTATTACTTATGTTGACATTATCCTCACCCCAATGATTGATGAGGATGAAAAAAAAACATGTTTGTTTTTATTTTTATTCAATTTTATTTCTACATACATATTTATTTTTACGTACCTAATTATATTTATTTATGCCTATGGGTTAGGTTAGATAATTTTTTTATTTGCATTTATTTTTTTTATATAATTAATTTATTTTTTTATTTGCATTTACTGACATATTGGACGAGGAATTTACTATGAATAATTTAATTTAAAATATACTCGAGTAGTAGGTATTATTATTTTATTTATTTTAATAGCTACAGCATTTATAGGATATGATTTACCTTGAGGTCAAATATAATTTTGAAGAGCAACAGTTATTACTAATCTTTTACCTGCTATTCCCTATTTAGGAACAATATTCGTAGATTCATTTGAGGGGATTTGCTGTTTATAATGCTACTTTAACTCGTTTTTATTAATTTCGCTTTTTATTCTCATTTAATATTTTAATATTAACTGGATAGGTATTTTTTTATAGAATAGGGTGACAAACGAGCACACAGTCCACCTGATGGTAAGTGGTTGCTGTGGCCCATATACATCTACATCTATCCTCGTTTGCGAATCAAAATGCAGAGCGTTGTCACCCGTGAGGACTAAGATGGAATGCCTCTTTTCCATATTAGTTACTAATTAGATATTTTTACCCAATTACAATGCCTACTGAGGTATTGTGATTATTTGTGATTAGGAATACTGGGTTGGTATTAATAAATAGAACAAAATAAAATAGAAAGTAAATTTTATTATCTTGAATGTAAGAACAAGATTACAATTTTTTTTAACTTCCTTAAATTATGAACAAATAGAAACATTATTACAATACAGCTATTAAATGAACATATACACATACATACATTCACACTCCGTATAAACTCACACACTACGCATACAATATGCACACTATATAATATAAATAATATAACTAATAATTATTTTTATGTATTAGTGCTGAGAGATTAGAGATTGATGGTAAGATACTAGTCATGTTTTTATTATCTTTATTGTTTTCGTTATAAGTATACTACTGCTTACTAGTTGACTTCGATCACTTATCATAAAATGTAATTTTAACTTTAGGTCTTTACCTATGAAATTGCCGTTAATTAAGGAAATAAGTTAACTTAATTTTTTCTACACGTTTTAATTGATGCCGTTCTTGAAGATATCGGCTGGACGGGAGACAACAAATTTTTCAAAGGCATTTTTACTGCCCCTAAGGCTTAAAAGGCTCTTTGTACTCGCCAAAAAGTTATCCAAATTCTGGGAAAAGAAGAAAAGAAAAGTATATAGGCGCAAAGTCTGGTGAGTACGGCCAATGACGGAGAGCTTCCTACCCCAGTTCTTGTAGCTTGGAGACCGTCTGTTGTGCAGTATGATGTCACGCGTTGTCGCAGGGGACGAGTGATTGATCCAAGCTGGTCGGAGACGTGCGAGCTTCTTTTTCTTTCTCTATGATTGTGATTGTAAAGCCGACATTTAAATGTAAATTTTGACTGTAGACCAATTGGGGTTTTACCTATGAGGTCAAGTTCTGTGAAGCCACATCCAAATGGTCCATGGTTTGAAATGCGTTTCAATCCTGAAAGGAAGTGGCTGACATCAATCATTCTTCTGTTTATTATTTTTTCCTTCGTTTCTGCTCCATTTTCATACGAAGTTTTAATCTGAAATAAAATATGGCGACTTTTGATATGTGCCCTTAAAACATTTGCATTCTTTAGTTCATCTGAAGCTGTTATTCATTTTCAAATACAAAAAAGAGAAGTCTAGCCTTTCTAACAAGTTTAAAACACACGTGGAAGGTATCCGAAACTTACTTCTTCAATGTCTTAAGTGGTTTCTTAAATATCTTCATTGGTTACTTCAGCGTTCTC